CCGATTGCTGCATTTGGCTTTGGGGAAAATAGACATCGTAAAACAAGCTCTTTCCTTTCTAATATTGATTAAAAAAAATGTATTACAATGAACGAATTAAATTGATTTTCTTTGAACACTGTATTTCGTCTAACTATTTTTAGAATAACATGAAGAAAATAAACAAGCGTACTTTTAAAACACAAAAAATGGGGAAAATTAAAATAAACTCATTGAGTTTTATTATAAAAATTAAAAGGAAATACACTATTGATGCTAGGATTTAGGGGCTGAATTTAATATATAAAATTTCTTCATAAGATTAAAAAATGTTTGGATTAGTTAATCTTAAACTTTAAGCTTGCATCTAAGGAGATAAGGATAATTAAAAAATAATTATCATGAATATCCAAAATCATCTTTAAATCCTATGTCATCACAGGTTGTTCAGGGACACTTTAATTTTCTTTTTCCCAGGAAAAAGAAATGGCAGTCAAGATTACAAAGATTGTTGTTAGACTATCTTATTCCAACTTGCAATTCAGAAGAGATATGAAGGAGTAGACTTCACTATTCCAACAAGCTGATGACTTTCTTCATGCTTTCCACCACAAACTTCTTTAGTCATGATCGTGAATTAAGTGAAAAGGGCTTGACAATATTGTCAATGATTTTATGGATGATTTTGTGTATAAACAGAAGTTGTAGAATTGAACACATTATTTATGGTTATTGTTTTGATTGAGTTATACTTGTTATGGAACCATGATTTGGTGCTCAATAGTTTGAGGGGTTAGTACTCATTAAGATGGGTGCCGTGTTATGCAAAATCTTGTAACTAAATTAATAGTATCTTATATAATATGAGTAGATTTATTTATTTTTAAAGACCTACAACAATAAATTTAGTGAGTTAAACAAACAATCTAACCTGAATAATGAATTAAACAGGTTAATTTATTTTAACTTATATTAGTTACTAGCTAAAAATTTTTTTAAAAAATGAAACATGAAAAGTATAATCTTAGTATTTAACATTTTAATGTCTTATTGCCGAAATTAACAATGGCAAAAATTGAAAGGTAAGATATTAATTGGTGTGGCTGAAAAATTATTATTGAGACAATTAGGTCTAAAAGTTGGTAAAAGAAAATGGGTCTAAAAAAATTTATAACGATAGTTGTTAGCAAATTAATTTAATTAGTATTGATTACAAATCTATCAAAGATGTATTTATGAAAACATGTTAGAAGTGTTGCATTAGAACATATTTTTGTTAGATGACAAGTCTTATTAAGTACCTTTTATTTTGAAATTAAATATATAAAAGACTTTGAAAATTCTGTTCCAACCTATAGAATTCTTATTGGACAACTAAATATGGTGCCAAAGAAAAGATAGAGGAAAAACAAATATTGATGCAACAATATTATGAACTTTATTATCGAGAGTGTCCTCAACCTAAAGGTTAAATAATAAAGGAAAGCTCTAAGGTCATGAGATTAAAATGTTATTGACATATATTTGGTGTGGTATAGTCATTTCCAAAATTCTTATATGCACAAAGATTTGTTGGAACATGATTGGTTGTTTTGGAATAGTTTGATTTGGTTAAAAAAGTTATGATTTGCCATTTTATGGGGAAAAAAACGTAGCAGTTTTGAAAATTGATAAATTATGGCCAAATGAGTTGTTCACCATAAAAGGGTTTGGACTAATTGTTTTCATTGGTCTGCTCAACAATTTAAATACCTCAATAATTTATTTGATTTTAAATATAAGAATTAGATAACTAATTTATAATAAAAACTAGTTAAACTAGTTATCTGAAAATAATAAAATTGATTTCCTTGAACGTTAATATATAAAATCAATAGAAAGAATTTAGGTAAATTAAAAATTTGAAAGATAAACCCGTATACTAGTTTTTGTATCTAGGACATGAGAGAGTATCATTTTTCACAAAACTGGAAAAAAAATCAAATTATTAAAAAAATAATTATAAAATGATCTAAAGTCATGATGATGCCAAAGATGATTCAGAAATACACAAAAAAAAAAAGGGAGCTAAGATAATGAGAGAATAATAGGCGATAAGAGAGGCGCTGTCTTAGTGTGAGGTTTTAAAATTTTAATATTTTATCAATTTTTATAATAATATGACATGGCTTTATAAGATTGCAATATTCTGCGTGTCAAAAACTAAAGCAACTTACCAATTCTACTTTTATATAGATGTATAAATATTATTAGTACAATACTGAAACATCTATTTTTAAACTCCTTTTAATATCTATTTGAAAGCAAAGTTGTCAAATTCATGAGTTTAAACAAACTCATGACAGGGATGTAAACTCGAATTGTAAACTCGTAATAATTTATCTATTAAAAACATATTATTAAATAATTAAAATATAAAAAGATGTAATTTGATTTAAATATATTTTTAATCCAAATAACTGAAAAATTAAATTTATCAACTTTCATAATTTATTATAAGTACTTAATATAAAAATTTCTATAAATTATATATATATATAAGTCAAGTCACTAAACATAATCAAATTTTAAAAAAATAATTATAAATTTAACAGAGATAATTAAATATGAAATTATCATCATTTCTATTGTCCTCAAATTATTCACCATTACGATCTCTAGTGTTTTTATGTGGATGAAAAAAAATATAAAGTGTGATTATTGTGAAAAAAAATTTTACTGGACAGATTTAAAAATTAAAATATCATCTAGTATTCGCCAAATTATGTATGTTTTTGAAAATGTAAAGACCATAATATTACAAAATGTTTTTATTATAAATTATGTATAATTTTTTATTAAAAATTATTTATAATTTAACGATAAAAGTTTATAGATTATTGATAACTAAAAAAAAAAAGACAATTATAGAAACTTACATCCACTAATTTTATCTCGCGATTTTAACAAAAAGTTACATTTTTAAGTGAGTCGAGTACGATTTTTCAGATTTCTGATTTTAGATGAGATTTAACCAGAAATGATGACATATATTCGTAAAATCGGACGATTTTACATTTTGAATTGCGATTTTGACAACATTGTCTGGAAGTATTACGGTTTAAGCAGGTCATGGAATAAACCCATAGATTGAAAACTTATATTTGATTTTTCGAGTTACTGTTTACTAGTAAATTCTATATTTTTTGTCAAACTTTAAAAATTTATAACTAATTATAGAAAAATTGAATTGAGGTAATCTAAATCTCCATTTAAAGTTCTTTCAATTCTTTATAGAGAAAAAAAAAATCTGGGTTCAACCTTATCAATTTGTATAGTTAATTCATGACAGTTTACTATTTATTTGGTAAAAACTGTACTTTACAGTTTCTCTATCCTAATTTTGAGCAGTCACAACTTTTAGCACATACACCTATTTTAAGTGATCTACCACTTGTTTTAAAGTTTAGAATGTGTAATTTAAGCAGATCAAATTTTATAGGCAGATTCCATCGTTGGTCTTACTTTCACTATATCATGAACTTGTGGCTCATTTAAGAATAAACTATCTCCCTAACTGGCATTAAGAATATATAATTAATTCTTTTCATACATATTATCATTCCATCGATGCAATTATACATGCCATTATTGTTCTTATACATTACATAATACCAATAGCATATTCATATCATACATTAGCATAGAAATTACATAATGTAATGTAATATATTTCCTCAATTCTTTTTCCTGTTTACTTGCTTTCAATTCATGCATAATTAGATCTATACTTGGATTTAGCATTAGGAATCATCTCATTGAAGTTCTTAGCATAACCTTGAGCCTGTAATCATATCCAATTCTCAACTTTTATTTAGATGATATATTTTTATTGAACATTAAAAAGAAACCAATTTCAATTAGTTTACATTTAAATTGTAGTTATGTTAAATTTCATTAACATGATATTATTCTCCATAATTTTTTTAACCCAATTCTTAAAATAATTTGTATCATATAATATGTCATTAATTAAAATATAAAGAATTATGTATAATAGTTTTTCAATTTTCTAATGTTAAATTTTGGATCCCCTTTGATGAGACAGAATATCTAAAGAAGTCCAAATAGCTGAATTAAATTATACCTCGTAAATCTAACCAGAAAAAAAAAAACTTGGTCCTAATTATAAAGTATGTCATTAATTTTATATCACGAGCTTTTCCTTTTATATTTCATTAAATATGGTTATAAGTTACTTAATTTTCATGTTATTTAATTTTTAAAGCACGTATATTTAAAAGGGGCAAAGTATGTATATTTAGATAGAATCATGCTGGCACTAAATTGATAAGTAATTAATTTAATACTACTTCCAGTCCTAATTATAAGAGTTGGTTGACTAATTTGAAGAGATTAAAGAAATAAATTAAGTTAGTTATTTATAATAAATAGATATTGTCTTTCCTAAAATATCCTTACTAATCAAGTGTATTGATTAGAACTACAATTATTAGAAGAACTACCTTGAAAAAAAAAACACAAATATTAGAGACAAAGTGGATTTGGGTCTTATATTTAGAACCAAAATAAAAGTCAAACAAAATTTTATATTAAAGACCAGAGGTAGTATTAGTCAAATTAGTTTTGAGCAAGTAAAAAAAAAAAAAGAATTTCAATCTTAATTTGAATGGTGTCTTAGAATGTTCTAAGATCTCTTTCTGCCTTTCTGGTTTAGTACCACAAACTCAACTCTGAAACCTTATGCTTAATCATGTCAAATCATTGATCAAAGACAAAAAATTGTTAAAGAATTTCAGGTTAATATGAACATTACAAATGAAACATGATTCACATGTGAAATCTCCCATAAAAGCTATACTGAAAATGGGAATTAGATTCTTCATCGCATGGTTGCAAATAATAAAAACAAAGTCAATAATTGGAAGAAGCTACAGCAGTTCAACGTGCAACTGAATCAACAGAATTAGCATTTCTAGACATATATTTACCCCTACAAAATATACCCTATCCAGTATCCACAAACAGGTCAATATTTGATTCTACTTGCTCAATCAAAGTCATCAGGAGTTACAACAGCCCTTTTGTTAAGTTCCCCAAGAACACAGCAGTTTCTTCCTGCAATTTCCATGGCCACCACATCTTGAGCAAACAAACAATCTGAACCAACAGACACCTGCACAAATGGCCTGATGTTACAAATGGGATTAAACCTGTGACCTCCCATTTACAGTGGAGGGTCAAAACCACAAGACTACAAGGCCTTTGGCAATGGTAGTAGGATTTAGATCCCTCGTAGTGCCTACTTTTTGTGTAGTTCTCAAGAGATGAGCAAAATGGTCTCTCAAGTAGTAAAATCAGACAGTGTCCTCAGATTCTTTACGTTCACGGTATATCGTGGGGACAAAAGATGAGGATTGAAAGGTAAGATGTAAGTCACACACAACAATGTCCCTTTACATTTTCTTTCCTACAAATGCATGAATGCAAAGAATCTAACCAGAAAAAGTTTATCAAGCAAGATAATGTCACTAAAACATCATACATAGTACCAACTACTAAGTTTGTTATTATCAACTGTTACTACCATCTTGAGGTTGTAGCATGTGAAACTAGCCTCCCTAACTATATAGGTTGTAACATGAAGCACTTTAGACTTTCAATATAAGAATCTTCAAAGTAGCACATCTATTAAAGTAACTTTCATGCATGAAGCTGAGAAAATGTAAACGAAGAACCAATCATGTTTATGACACAATAGATCAATTCTTGCAGTCTACGAAGACATAATCCGTGTAACAGAACAAAACATCAATGCTCATAACTCAAGCAGTAAGTTTGATTAATTACTTGTTCCATGAGAAGAATTGCTGAGTTTAATGCTGATTTTAGTACCATATTCAACTCAGACATTTATACTTTAGTTACTTTATCAAATTAAAAAAGATAATTTTGTTCTTAGCTTTGTTGAGTAACTTTTTGGTATGTCCCTAGCCATGGTCATGCCACATGTAAATTTCAGAGCCAAGTTGTAAAACTCACATCAAATAAGTTCTCTCCAAGCTTTAATTTAACTGCTCCACTCTTGTATACTAGCATTTTGCCCATGTAGCCCCCTGACAAATCTTCCAGATTGCAGCCCTTTATGGAAGCTTCTGATGTACCTAATTTCTCCTTCCCTTTCACGCTGGCCGGCTGCTTAACCAATGGCAGAGGAGGGAGCTGAAACAAAAGCATCTTTTTTCCGTCCCTGTCATCCTGTTGAAATTTTATCATGCATACTTACAGTCACATGCACTGCACAGCAAAAAGCTTAGAATTTATACTAACACGTTTTATTGTGACTACTGACCAAGAGACCAAGTTCTGCGGCATTATTAACAGCTTCCTCATCATATTCTACACTAGTAGCAGCTTCCCCAAATTCTTGCTCATCAAGAATTTCTGAAAGAGAAAAAAGAAACAGGTAAATGAAATTCAATGTTACAAAGCTCAATAAATTCATCAGAAATGCCATCGTAGATCTATAGTTCATTAGTTAAGAAAAAACCTGAAAAAGGGTTTTGCTGATATTAATTATTTTATGTTCTCGGGAACTCATTGGCCATCACATTACAAGTACTTTTTTGGGTATGATATATCATGTTCTCCGTCGAGTCTCATTGACGAAATTGAATTTTGTTGATGGATCATTTGTTGAATTTGATTAAAGCATACCTGGGTTCCCAGAATTAGGCTTCCTCAGCGGCAGCGTGGTAGGATAATAAGATTGATAATCCTGCAGTTTTTTTTTTTTAAAAAAAAAATGCTTAGACCTTGCTCTTTTTAGGAAGATGTAGATAGGATAAGAAACGATCAGTAATGACAATTTCTTACCCATGGTTCCCGGTATTCTTTATTTGTTTTCCTAGCTGATGCATCGGTTACAGCATTAGTAGCATCTATCATATAAACATCATTTTGATTCTCCACAGCAGTTGAAGGCAATGTTAAAACATCTTCCCCATTACCAGAAACTCTGGATGATGAGCTACTGCTGCTTTGACCTCTATTCTTGCCCTTACTGTTACCATATGTTCGTAGGGATGGCGATGAACTAGCACCAGGACCAAATGCAACTTGCACATTTGCTGGAATTTTTAACAGAGAACATAAGGATTCAGTTAAATTAATCAAAAGGTAAACAATGACGATGGTAATGAGAATTTATCTATAAACTGTAAACTGATCACAGATTCAGAAAGCTACTCAAGAAGAGAAAAATGTTTGTCCAGTCAAACTGCGGTGTTATTACTATGGTTTAGAGATATTTATAATTATAATAGCCAATTAACAGCTCCTTTGTAAAAATGAAGTGTGATATATTCCAGTAGTTCCATGTTATTTGTGCTTCTCACCCAACACCAAGACTATCCAATTCCTGGATACAAATGAAAGGGAAGAGTTCAGAGGGAAAAAGTAAAACTTCTTGAGGCATTTTTACTGTTCTTAGACCATAAATAGACGGGGAGTTATCTTTACCCCTATTTAATTTTCAAGAACTTCTAAAAAATTATCACACATAAGGCCATGCAACTGTCATGAGATAACATGCACGATGCAGAGATATATCAGAATTTACTTTCTGATGCAGAAGCACAGAGTAGAAGGAAAAGTGAACATGACAACCTCTGGTTAGTGGTTATCAAACATATATCAAGCTATTCAAACTCCAAAAGGCACAAAATATACTTGTCACCAAATATCACTAGAGAAGGTTCAAGGGAACTTGTGCATTGATCAAGTCTAAGCAAATGGGGATATTTTATATGTCGCCAAATGATGATACAGTTAGATAGAGACAAGAAAAGAATATGTAGTAACCGGCTAGTGCTTCTTCAAAATCCTACCTAAGACTGAAACATAAACTCCATTTGTTAATAGGATAAATTTACGCTTTCTATTGAGAAGTCAAGATTGCTAAAATAAAACAAACATATGCAACACAAATTTCCAGACACATTCTGCTCCAAAACTTTCACGCATGAGAACCTTGTAAATTTTTGCTATTGCGGTCACCAGGACATCATAGCTTATTCCACAAACTCCATTATTTTTCTATTATTTCCTTCTTCTTTTTTTTTTTTGGGGTTCCAGTTCAGTGTCTTTTATTTGCACTACATATTAAAGATAGTTGAAGTCGAGATTGGCTTCTAGGCAAGAAACTACGACAGACTTCGCTAATACAGGAAAAGACGCACAGATAAGTACACGTCAATTTTCTGTAAGAAATTTGAGGTAATGAACAAAATCAAGTGAAACTTAATGCTCAACAGAAAATACCATTCGGGATGCAAGATTATGGTAAAAATATGATCATTAATGTAAGAACATGCTTTGCAAATATCATGTGGCAAGCAAGGCGCAAGTACAAATAAGATCGTTACCTTTTGTTTCAACTTTAGGACTTCGTCTTGTGATGCTCTCCTGCAAATCCAGGTTGAAAATATATCAGTATTATATCAGCAAGAAGAAAAGGATAGAGCCCATAAGTATGTTTGTTTGACATAGGAATTACAGAGATTCAATATAAGCTGACACTCCCACAAAATTGTTCTCCTTGAAATTTAATAATTAAAAAAAAAAAAAAAGGAAGGGACAAATTCCTAGAGAGAAGCAGGGCTGCCGCAGGTCATGTTACCGAAGCTAGATCCTCTACAGTCACGAATTGATTGACAATTCAAAGTTTTCAACACTTTTTCCAAAGAAAAAATCAAAAGTATTCAATAATCCTTATTAATTATCATTTTAGACATGTCGTAACAATGCTTCGGCTTGACTTTCTTTTGGGGCACAAATCGATTCCCAGAGACAAGTAGAAATTTAACAATAAAATAAAAAAACGATTCAAGTCTTAACTATCTAGCATGATGCCCTTTTTCTTTTTTCTTTTTTCCTTTTGAACATCTCAACGAAACATCAAAATGCTCTCTCAAGCCTATCAAAAGGGTCCTAGTGATCTTAAGAATTGCCACCTCAGTCTATCAGCCATGAGAAAGATATTATAAAGCACCAACTACGAAAGAAAGGAGAAAAAAGTCGGAAAATAGGTTGATCTATTGCTAAACAACCAAACACGCCCCAATGTTTCATATGAATACGTAAAAATAAATACAATAATACATACATTTAAAGTAAGAACTTAAAATCACGTGAGGTCACATCTGGTTGCATTTATTTTTTTCTTTTGAGACTACATGATAATGAAAAACTAAATAAATAAATAAATAAAATGGGACACCGCCTTCAGAGCGAGGACGGTTCTGCTTGCAATCGCGATGAACTGGCATTGCGAAAATTAGTTAGTTAGTTTCTATAGTTTTGATTAGAATATAGAGTTATTCAATTCTTAAATTTTTGATTTGGTAAAGTTCAATTCTTATAATTTTGACTTAGTTGAAATTTGCTGCCTAAATTTTAACTCAATGCAATGTTAATTATATAAAATTTTAGCACCCAACCTTTTTGCAATATGTAATTTTATTTTTTTAAATATGAGGACTAATATTTTACAGTTATAGGGATCAAATTGCATCAAGCTAAAGTTTAGGGAGGAAATTATAATCAACAAAACTCACGTTATGAGAAAATAGCTAGGTTCCTCCTATAGATTTTAATCTACTTCAATAACTTTGTTTTCTTTTTGGGCCAAATATGCAAATTTGTTTTGGGCATAGCCAGGTATGCAAATTTTGATTCACTGTTTTCTAAATCTCTTACCGACCAAAACGCGCAATTAAACCGGTCATCCCCTTCAGTTAACAAGTAGATTAACAAAATAACTACAAAAAGCCGTTCGAAATTTTGGCTTGATGGTGATAGCAATTCAAGAATCACCAACCAAGTCACGTGTTCGAAACTGGCACTCGGCAATTGAATCAAATACAAAATAAGAACAAGAACCAAGAGTCTGTAAGAATATGATGATATGATTTTTAAGCTCAGATCTTCAAAGAACAATAACAGAATCAGAGAAGAGGGAAGACTTACGCTCATGTGACGCAATAGAGCTCGAGCTTGAGCACTTTCTCCATCATTTTCTTCTCCAGCTTCACTGCATCAACCATAATAACAATAATCAGAAAATTTTCGTACAGATTTCAAAGGGAAATGGTGGAAATTCACAGTGAATTTTGCGGAATTACGATTTCGGCGTCTTTGGTTTAGGCTTCCTGGTAGGTGGAGATCTCGGAGCGAACTTTACCTGCCAGAGGAAATCGAAGTCACTGGGAGTTGAAATCGAATCTTGTTTAATGAAATGAGAGAGTTTTGCCGGAATTCGAATAGAAAATTATACCTTCCTGCGAGCAGAAGATGGCTGGTCTCCATCCATGGTCGTAGAAATGAGGAAGATGAACTGAGTCCAAAAAGGCCAAAAAGGAAGGCTAGGGCAAGAATCGAACCAGCGACCTAGAGAATGAAAACCAAGCACAGTACCACTAGGAAGACAGGATATTTTATGCATCGGCTCTGGAATTCTGTTATATAACATATGAGCTCACCATATTTTAACAAAAACTATGTTTTAAATCTTGGAGATTTTATTTAAAAAATTTAATGCAGTTATTATTTTACAAAAAATTATAATAAAAATTAACTTAATCCTATTATTAGAACTCTGCGAGCTTAGCTAAAAGCTCATCAATAAATTCGAACAAACATTAATTATACTTGCTATTATATTTTTTAAATATAATGCGTGGAACGTATATTAATATTCTTGGCAAAAAATTTAAGCTGCCACAGCTCAATATCTCCTAATCAAGTCTAGTAAAGAAATTCCTAATCTTGAGAACTAGTAAAATTTCACTTAAATTCGATGGGGAAAAAAATTGTATATATATATATTTTTTTTTTTTCACCAACGTAAATGATGGTTGATAATTCATTAAACTTCCATATAATATTTTGAGGGGAAGTAATTGACGCAAAATCATCTATTTGATTTATTAAATTATGAAATGTTGATGGTTTCAATGAAAATAAACACACGCACAAAGAAAGGCATTATATTAAATATAGTCCAACAAGAAGAGAGCAAGGCAATGCTTGAACAATGAATCTCATGAGTAAGACTTACTCTATTTAAAAATTATATTATAACTTAATTATAAGTTAACTTGAACCTTATTCTAAAAATAATATATGAGCTAAATTAATAAATAAATATAAATAATAATTAAAAATTCATTTTTTGACTTGGTTTTTTCATTCTACTCCTCTGGTCCTTAATATAGACTCAATTTTTGAGTTGGTTTTGATCCTAAATATAAGACCCATTTCTCATATTTATCAATTTTCTCTAAATTATCCCTATAAATATTCCCTCAACCATAATCAAGTAGAAGAGAGTGAAAGAGTATTAAGAAAGATGATTATGGTGTTTTAGGAAAAATGTATCATTTTTCTTATAATTAACTAACTTACCTAACTTCCTTAATCTAATCAAATTAATTAAATGAGTTTTATATTAAAAACCAGAGGAGTATAATCACAATAAAAAATTTATAATTGAATTTGGAAGAATCGAGATGAGGTAAACTTTAGCTTGATTTAATGCTCTGTATGCTTTCTATAACAGAAAAATTTTCTCATTACGTTTTAGACGATATAGATACCTCCAAAAGGGGAGTTGGAGATGCAAAAAAACAGAAGAAAAATGTTTGGGCTCCGCTGGAGCATCAATTTTAGGCCATTTTGAAGTGATTTCAAGCTTTATAACAGTATGGTTAATTATTTATTGATTTCTACATTTCTCCTCCCAGCTTTTTATATTTAATTGAGATGGTGTGGCTAGGGCTTGTGAATCTGAGAGGGATGAGAGTTTTGTTGAGTCAGACTATGTTTAAATGAACTAATAAGAGTAGATTAAAAAGGTGTTTGGGTAAAAACAAAATCATAGTTTTAAAAGTATTTTTATGGTATACAAAATAAATATATGAAGGAATTTGTCTTGTTTTGCGGTCCAAACACCCTCTAAGTGTCTAATTGGTTTACTTTTATTGAATTTTAAGTTGTGTGATTTGATGTTAGCGTTTGATGATAACTTAAGGGCTTTGTAGGAAATTGATAATGCAATCATTTAAATTGTGGTCTAATGATTAAGTTAAGTTTATATGAATTAGAAGTAAGGTTTAATCGGTTTGATTTATTGATCTTGAAGTTCGTTTATGGTATGTTGGAGATTGGGACCCTAAGTTATAAAATGGGGAATCGGATTGATTGGTCACAATTGAGGTTTTCTAGTTATTCAAATGAGTTGTCACGTTGTAGAAAAGATTGATCACATGTTTGGATTGAAGGATTGGGCAAATTGTGAGAAATGGAGGATTTAGGTTGGAGATTGAGATTTTTAGGGGAACTTGATGTTTTGTAATTTAGTTACTTAATTGTTATACGTATTGATTGTGTCTACACTAATTAGCTATATTAAGTTGTGACCGTGTTATGGAAGGTTTAGCGAAGCAAGAAACATGCTAGAACAATATGTTTGATTCTTGTAACTAGAACTTGAATAGTCGTGATAGCAATTTCTTGTTTAACACAACCATAGTCATTGTAACGTCCATGTCTCCATTCTTTATCCTTTGGCTTGAATTTGGAAACAAACGCTTGTGCGGTGTAATCACATTTACTAACTTGCTTTTTTGCTCTTATTTGGATAATTGTTCATTGAGATATATATTGGGTCCGTTTAGATTAGTAATAGAAAAAATAACTTATTTTTAATCTGACTCTTAAAAACTCAACACAAATAAGGAGATTTACTAACTTGCTTTTTTGCTCTTATTTGGATATTTGTTCATTGAGATATATATCTTTAGTCTGCTTGGATTAACAGTAAAAAAAAAACTTATTTTCAATTTAACTTTGAAAAAAGTGAGATTGAATAATATGATTAATGTTTAGATTAACTTTTGTAAAAATTAATTTGTAAAGTAAAAAAATTATTTAGATTTTAATTGAATAAGTAAGTTTAATTTGTAAAATGATCAACATGAGTATAACCTTTATTAAATAATAAAAATGATTAAAAATATGAATTTCCAGAATATAATAATTTTAAATTATTATAATAGAAAAAAATTATATTTAATGAATAAAATATATTTAAATTAAAAATCATAATAATGCAAAAAAATTTTAACCAAATAATATTACATAATTAATTAAGTAATATACTCTACATAATTAATATAAATATAAATAAAAAATAATATTAAAAATTTAAATATTATACAAACTATTAAAAATTATTTTTATTTAAGAAAATATTAAAAATAAATATAATAAGCAAAAAAAAATATAAAGATAAGCATAAGAATAACATAAACATAAAGACAAAAATATCTTTTAATTGTTAAAAACTACTTTTACACAAATCATAGACAAGAGTTTTTACAATTGTACTTTAAAAAAAACTGTTCACCTATTGACTAAAAACTTTGGCAAACAGCTCCCCAATTTACAACCTAACTTATAACACCTATAAATTACTTTTCCTTTTCCAAACACCTTACCAACAGGCTGATTGCCATCCTAGCAAAGAATGCTCATGGGGTGAATATGGTTTTGAGCATCGTTGCTTATGTCAACCAAATGTACAGAGACCTTGCTAACCGTTCCAGGGAACCTGAGGTTTCAGGTAGCACTCTGATGACTTCAACCTTCGACTTAAGCTAAAGCTTGCCTTCTCATTTACCCAAATATATATACTCTTCCGATCTTTAATATAAAGCCTAATTATTGAGTTAGTTTTAATTCTAAATATAATATTCATTTATTTAGTTTAAATTCTAAATATAAGATTCATTTATCATATTTATCAATTTTTTCTAAATTACCTCTATAGATACTTCTTCAACTATAATCAAATAGAAGAGAGAGGGGTATTAACAAAGATGATTATGGTATTTTTAAAACAACGTGTCACATTTCTTATAATTAATTAACTTACCTAACTTCTTTAATCTAATCAAATTAATTAAATAAGTCTTATATTAAGTACTAGAAGAGTAGTATGCATACGTATATAAACATTTTCATGACTGCACCGTACATATTTTACTTGTCATATTAAGCCTTCATGGTGACCAAGACTTCAATTGTACAAAAACTAAAAATCTCAGTGTTATTACTTTAACAATTCACATTCAAGTTTAAAATTCTAGTGATGGGGTCAATAATTAATTTATTTTAAAAGAATTACTACATTATACACTCAAAGGTCAATAACCACCTCATAATTTTGCCATGTACAAAACACCAGCCAAAAACTTGCACAACGACAATCACTGCAATGGGTTTGAAACTAACTTCTGATCTCTTTTAAATTTTAATCCTTTAAATTTGAAATCAAAATATGATTTTTTTTTTGTTGGTTTCTTTAAAACCTACATAGATTCATATTTCAAAAACCAAAACTGATCAAATTTAATTTAACGAACTAAAAATGACGGCATCCCTTGCAATTATCATTTCTTAAAATAATCACTGATTTCCAAATCACCACTAACGCTGAAAACCCAATCTAACTTCTCAAGTACGAAATATCCAAGATTTTGTTATTTCATAAAATTTTGTTTCTCAAACACAAACTAATGCTACAGCACCAACCCTCACCCACCAGCCCCTTGAAATTAAAAAGACCAATTTGTCAATGAATTTTGCGTCCTGATATATATTCATCTTATATATAAATGCAAAAGCAAAAGAAGAATTTAAATCGAGACTACTTGCTCAAAACCCAAAAATCACTTAAAAACACTCTTTAGCACTTGACAACTCACATCTACAAAAAATCACTTGGGACAAGTTAATCCTAACACCCGTACGCCCTTCACTGTTTTTCTTTTATGATACATAGAACAGCATTTAAGCATATACCCACATCCCACATCACAATCCCACCCTTACTACTTGAGCTGGTTCAAAAGGCTTCGACTCTAATTAAATTTAACCAAATGATGATAACCCGAAGCATACAATATACCATCGATATCAACCTCACTGTAAGGTCGCCTTCGCTTTATTATCGTGGCCCCATCGCCCTTGTGACAAACAAGAAAGGTTAAACAACACAGGAAACACGGGAATAGGATTAAAGGCGTAACTTGACAAAAACCCACCACCTACCACATCTACGCTCAAACGACAAGGCAAGCGCCATCTAGCCAAAAGGTTACAAGACATTCTATCAAAATCACACGCAGACACAAGGAAAACCACGAGGCCAAGGGTCATATTCACTAGGTACGCAATATAGCTGACAGTAACAAAAATATGTAACTCAGAAATCAGCCATCAATCAGGGCAGAATTTGCCACTCCTTTGAATCAATGTGGCACAAGACAATAGAAACCAGACCACAGAGCTCAATAATCCAACTCCCGACCAAATGTTACAAAATACCATCTAAAAA